AGTTCCTGACTCAATTATCTCTCAGGCACAGGGGAGGAGTTTGTGACTTGTATAAATTCTGTAACTGTGCTGCCATTAAACCGACTACTTTCCAGCATTAAAGGAACACTATAGGGTCATGAACACAAACATGTATTCCTGACTCTATAGTGCAAAACCCACTATTAAGGTGGCTTTCTCCCCCTTATCCCCCTTAAAAGCATGAAAAACACACCTTATTCCCAGCGCCGTGTAGGTCCACCAGCAGTGGCCCCGACCCTTGGTGACTTCATCGGAATTGCTGATTTGTAGCCAATCCAATGCTTTCCCATGGGAAGAGCATTGGATTGGCTAAAATCGGCAAGGGGGCGGGGCCAAACACTGTTTTGGCCAATCAGCACCGAATCAATGCATCTCTATGAGGAAAATTTTGCATCCCCATGCAGAACTGATTGGCAGAGCTGCCTACTGTGCAGCACTGAGCCAGGAAGTACCTCCAGTGGCCATCTGAGGAGTGGTCACTTTGAGGTGTCCCTAGGGGCTCTTTGGATTACTATACCTGCTTTAATCTCTTGGAGGAGAGGTCTTCCCACTCGGAGTTGGCTCTAGGTGTTGGTCCAGGGTGGGAATCACTGTACCCCCCTCAGCCAAGCTGCAGCGGCTAAGGGGGGTGCAGTGGTTATGGTGTCTGGTGCAGTGCTTATAGTACTCAGTGATACTAGGAAGCGCGATTGGCGGAGGTACCCAGTCGGGGTGCCAGACGGTCCGCCACAATGTGTATGTGCCAGTGTGTATCTTGGTGTGTGTATGTGCCAGTTTGTGTATCTATGTGTGTATATTTGTATGTGAATGTGTGCATGTGTCAGTGTGTATCTTAATATGTGTATGTGCCAGTGTGTATGTGTGTGTGTATGTGTCAGTGTGTATCTGTGTGTGTGCGTATGTGCCAGTGTGTGTGTCTGATTGTGTGTGTGTATGTACGTCAGTACATCTGTATGTGTGTCAGTGTTTAATACACATACTGATACACATGCAGATATACAGACACACAGATACAAACATTGCCACACATGCATATACATGCTCTGGGTAATTCGCAAAACTCATAATTTTTGCCAAATAAATCCTAATGACAAGACTGAATAAAAAATAGCCATGTTGTTACTGTATTCTTGCCTCCGTTTAAGATTTAGATTTTTATTTTTACATTTTTGCTGTGCAGAAAAGACAATTACACAAACACTTGCCATGCCAACAGCTAAAGCAAGCATTATCATGTCAGACAGAGTTAAACATAGGTATGGCATTAGCAATATCTGCACAATTAAAACAAAATTAGGAATAGCCAAGAAAGCATGCATGTCTTAACGATGAGCTAAAACTAGTAAAGAAGTGTCAAAAGCAAATAGACATGAGATCAACATACATTATAAAGCCACTGGGTCATATTTAACTATGTGCATTGCATTTGGATAGGGCCTCTCATGCTAGAGAAATCGAGCTAGAGACTACTTCAGTAGGTATGCAGGAAATATGTAGGGAGCCCGTTATACTAACTAGTAATAAAGGTAGTAGTAGCGCCCCCAGAGACCAAGACTAAAAGAGAACATATGAACTAAAAGCATATATCTTGTCTCCGTGATCCAAATGGTGCCCTTGGTGCAATAGGTCAGTCAATTCCCTGTATCAGGAAGCATGTGTGAGGCAAGTGGTGGGATTGCAGGGTAGCGGTCGGTGGGCGAGGCATCCTTCCAGCCCTGAGCCAGGATATAGGCCGGCATTTGTGGACCACGGACTTGATGGCTCTCAGAGTTCAAGTCCTTCCCCAAGAGGGTGAGACAGAGGGTCCTGGTGGTTCTGTGCCATTGGTAGCGGCTGGTCCCCTGCCCGTGTGGGCGATGCATGGGGTTCTTGCCCCGGTTGACCCTTGGCCCAGGCGGGCTAATGGCAAAGATGTATGGTGCTTGTGGAGGTTAAGTGCCCGAGGGAGGCTCACTCACCGCCCTACCTTTCTCTCTCCTGATCCTTTTTTCAAATGTTGAAATGGCTGTGTTGCCTGGGGTGCCTCTAATGAGGCCCAAAATCTGTCAAATATTTCCTCCAGTCGCTTCAAAGATCGTTCTGTGAGGTCCCCAAGTGACTGCATCGGCTGGAGACCATGAGGTTGATGCACCAGCGACATCTTGAGAGCATATGCCGTGGGCTGAATCTCCCCAGGCACAATGGTAACAAATCTTGCTGTTGCTTGTCTCGAGCCAGTGGGGACCGGGATAACCCCCACCGGTCCAGAAGGGGGGAACAGGGCTGCGAGAAAGCTATGGGAAAGTGCGGTGATGTGCAGAATGGGTGATTGGCCGTTTCACCCGCCCCGCTGTTGCACTAGGCCTGGTTGGGGCTACCGTGGAATGAGCAATCGGTACCGTGGAATGAGCAATCGGTACTGGGCGCCCCAACAGACTCCACAGAGGTAGGTATAGTACAGGTCGTTTAGCTTTTCTGAGCTAGGTATCGAGAAATCGACTTATAATCAATCTCATGTTGGGAGCTCACTCGATGCAAATCCAGCTGCCATGGAGCTCAGGCATCACCCCCTTAACATTTAGATTTAACTTGTGAAAATTTTAAGTTTAGCAAATAATACAGAGTGACACACAGAATGCTCTGCGCACTGAATTCCTCTATATACTGAGTGACACACAGAATGCTCTGCACAGTGAATTCCTCTATATACTGAGTGACACACAGAATGGTCTGCGCACTGAATTCCTCTATATACTGAGTGACACACAGAATGCTCTGCGCACTAAATCTCTCTATATACTGAGTGACACACAGAATGCTCTGCGTAGTGAATCCCTCTATATACTGAGTGACACACAGAATGGTCTGCACAGTGAATCCCTCTATATACTGAGTGACACACAGAATGGTCTGCGCACTGAATCCCTCTATATACTGAGTGACACACAGAATGGTCTGCACAGTGAATCCCTCTATATACTGAGTGACACACAGAATGGTCTGCACAGTGAATCCCTCTATATACTGAGTGACACACAGAATGGTCTGCGCACTGAATTCCTCTATATACTGAGTGACACACAGAATGGTCTGCACAGTGAATCCCTCTATATACTGAGTGACACACAGAATGCTCTGCGCAGTGAATCCCTCTATATACTGAGTGACACACAGAATGCTCTGCGCAGTGAATCCCTCTATATACTGAGTGACACACAGAATGCTCTGCGCAGTGAATCCCTCTATATACTGAGTGACACACAGAATGCTCTGCGCAGTGAATCCCTCTATATACTGAGTGACACACAGAATGCTCTGCGCACTGAATCCCTCTATATACTGAGTGACACACAGAATGCTCTGCGCAGTGAATCCCTCTATATACTGAGTGACACACAGAATGCTCTGCGCACTGAATCCCTCTATATACTGAGTGACACACAGAATGCTCTGCGCACTGAATTCCTCTATATACTGAATGATACACAGAATGGTCTGTGCAGTGAATCCCTCTATATACTGAGTGACACACAGAATGCTCTGCACACTGAATCCCTCTATATACTGAGTGACACACAGAATGTTCTGCACACTGAATTCTTCTGTATACTGAGTGACACACAGAATTCTCTGCGCAGTGAATCCCTCTATATACTGAGTGACACACAGAATGCTCTGCACAGTGAATCCCTCTATATACTGAGTGACACAGAATGCTCTGTGCAGTGAATCCCTCTATATACTGAGTGACACACAGAATGCTCTGCACAGTGAATCCCTCTATATACTGAGTGACACACAGAATGCTCTGTGCAGGGAATCCCTCTATATACTGAGTGACACACAGAATGCTCTGCGTAGTGAATCCCTCTATATACTGAGTGACATACAGAATGCTCTGCGCAGTGAATCCCTCTATATACTGAGTGACACACAGAATGCTCTGCGCAGTGAATCCCTCTATATACTGAGTGACACACAGAATGCTCTGCGCAGTGAATCCCTCTATATACTGAGTGACACACAAAATGCTCTGCGCAGGGAATCCCTCTATATACTGAGTGACACACAGAATGCTCTGCGCAGGGAATCCCTCTATATACTGAGTGACACACAGAATGCTCTGCACACTGAATCCCTCTATTCTGAGTGACACACACTGCTATGCATAGATAATGGATATATATACTGACACACACTGCTCTGTACAGATACTCTTTCTATATACCGAACTACATTCAATGAATTGTTACATTTGCCCTATATGCTCTGTATGCAGAAAATGATGATTCTTCTTGTGACGTTATTTAAATTTTCCAAATCTTAGATGTTACTCTGAAGATGTTGCCACAATAAAGGATTTGAAGTGTTTCTCAGATTTCACATCACCCCTTTTCCCACTCCTTTCTTTTGTTTTTTTTTATGGCTGACCTATTTCCAGTTGTGTTTTCATTCTGCTGATTGGGTACCAAGAATACATCAAATTTAATGACAATCATTCAACCTAAATTGTTCCGTATAATGTTTATTTATGGTCCCTGTCTTAGCATATTAGTCAAATTATGTTTGTTTTGCCTTTGCTGGAATTTGCACTTTGTATGTTAAGGTACGATGCTAAAAAGGTCTTAGTGAAGTAGCGAAATACACACAAACAAATAAATTGCAAAACATGCACACAACCATCTCCAGATCACCAACAGTATTCTGAATACCAGACTTAAGAATTAGGCAATGATTGTGGTCGAAACTGAGCCAACGAAGCATAAACAATAAAAAGATTCATTGATAGGCCTAGACCTGATACCATATTGTCATACTTTTGGTGTATCCTTAATAAAAATATTTTAAACAATTATTGAGGGAATTTTCGAATAGTGTTTTTCTCTTGTTATAATCATTCATAATTAGTGATGTCCCGAACGGTTCGCCGAACGGTTCGCCACGAACGGTTCGCCACGGACTCATCATTGAGTAAACTTTGACCCTGTACCTCACAGTCAGCAGACACATTCCAGCCAATCAGCAGCAGACCCTCCCTCCCAGACCCTCCCACCTCCTGGACAGCATCCATTTTACATTCATTGTGAAGCTGCATTCTTAGTGAGCTGTCCAGGAGGTGGGAGAGTCTGGGAGGGAGGGTCTGCTGCTGATTGGCTGGAATGTGTCTGCTGACTGTGAGGTACAGGGTCAAAGTTTACTCAATGATGAGTCCGTGACGAACCGTTCGTGGCGAACCGTTCGCGAACCGTTCGGGACATCACTATTCATAATTAGTCAAAATCAGTGTTTTCATGTACAATATATAACCAAATGTATTTTGAATAAAAATACCACATACTGCCAGTAGAGGGCAGCAGATGACCACAAAAGCATGGTGCCAAAGTTTAAATGGCTTATGCACTTCTGTATTTTCATCTGCTATACTGAGCACAGACATTATTTTATCATTGTAGCAAGTAAGGCAAAGAACAACGGCAACTTTGCTTTCACTTTTTACAGTTTGTCATTTTCCCTTTCAAACCAACACACAAATCCCTATTGTATGTTTTTTTTTTCTTCTTCAATATTTATATGTCCTGTTCAAATTCAGTTTATTTTACAATTCTTTTATATAATGGATGTAATCCAGGACTCTTTATGTAAGTGAGTAGTTACATTTTTATTTCTGAAAACATCATGGGGGGCATGTACTAACCAGAATAAATAAATAAATATATAATAATAATAAAAGTAAGATATAATTTTCTTTATTTATGTCTTAACTGTCTGAAACCAAAATAGAGAATATAATTTACCAACTTGATAAATAGAGAACAAAAATATGCACTATTTATCACTTGCAAAAAAAGAGCACATTATTGTGTATTTTTAATATAACTGACTAGTAAATAACAGTGCTAAATGCAAACAACAAATTATTTGTTAATTTCTATATTTTTCATTTTATTATATGTTGAAAATCAGATGAAATCAGACATGATCAATACTGTTTACTGTATGAAGGACAGGTAGACATCAGGTAAATGATTATACTCAAGGGGAACAAGGTATAACAGTGGAGTGTCAATGAGAATATATGTGAATACGACAATGTATGCGAATACAGACAATGTACATGAATACTGAGAATGTATGTGAATGCTAGACACATTTACATTACAGGAAAGACCGGTCCCTGTATTAAATTGGCTCTCCAAACGGACTCAGTGGGTCATTTGTACAATTACGACTTTACATCAGTCTTTGTTTAGAATCCCATCAGTTTAATAATACGTCATTTTTAGGGTATAGATCTACATTATGTATGACAGTCCTTTGCACAGCCTTCTTAAAGGGATACCTTAAATGTCAAACAACTTAACGTTATGAAATGAAGACCATGCAAGCACAGGTTATACACTGTATTAATGCACAGATAGAAATGGCCATATTCGCATATTCTCCTCTAAAGTGCTTTCTCTCAAATTTTGTAGAGGACATATGTAAATTATGACTGATTTATAAACGTATATTATCTGAAAATAGCAAATCCCACAAGTTGGTAAGGAATAGGGCATACATCTTCAATGACCCTTAATTCTTGTGACTTCTTTTGCAAGAAAGCCAAGGGCACTGGGCTGATGCTAGTAGGCTGTCTACCAGTTCTAGATCAAGTCTCTATCAAGTGGTCCTCGAGGTACCAGTGGGTCAACGCCCCCACTCACTGTATTGCTAAATTCCACTTATGCATTAGCAATATTAAGTTTGTCCATGTTTGGAACTCATTGATAATATTCCCCAAATATGGGAAACACTGATATTGCTAATACTCAAATGGGAACTCCCACATTAGCAAACTAGTGAGTGGGGCTAAGCTGCAGGTTTGACATAGAACCAGGGGTCCAGGCCCACAGCCTTCTGCCACCGAAACCACTGCAATGGGATATAGTGGCTCTGGTTTATAGAATGTCCCTTAACCCCTTAAGGACACATGACATGTGTGACATGTCATGATTCCCTTTTATTCCAGAAGTTTGGTCCTTAGGGGGTTAAAGTTTTCTAATAGTGAACCAAACAGAGAGCTATGTCTTTCTTTTTTCTATGCAGGAAACTGTACAAATTACTGATGGCATTTCCTTCCTATACGGACTGGATTCCATTACATGGCATAAGCTCAACTCTGGTAACTGAATGACAGTTCTCCCATTGACATTTATGGTCAATGTGCTATTAAATTACCATAGATATGATTATCTCATATAATAGAGGTCATGTGGCTAATATTTCTAAAGCAGTCCAGGCTCTGGCAGTGTCTAACTTGAAATTAAGAAATGAAGCACAATGTATAATGCAGAAGTACTTGATAAAAAGCTTTTCAGAGCTAAGCAGTGTATGATAAAATAGCTGAAAATGTAAAATATTGTTTTGCAATTCTATAGCTACGGCTAAAGGACTTCTTAAGAAATATTCATTAGCTGATATATATCTCATCTGAAAGGGTTCATGTATGACAAAATGTAAAAACATATAGTACCCATAATCTCAAGGGAACAAGAGCATACACATATGTTTACATATGTACAAAACAACTTTAGCTTAATGAAGCAGTTTTGGTGTATAGATCGTACCCCTGCAGTCTCACTGCTCAATTTTCTGCCATTTAGGAGTTAAATCCCTTTGTTTATACAGCCCTAGTCACACCTTCCTGCATGTGACTTGCACAGCCTTTGTAAAGACTTCCTGAAATGGAACCTAGATTTTTTAGGTTCCTGTATTACACAATCTGTGTTATTTATTTCTTATCTCCTGCTCTGTTAATAGCCTGCTTGACCCTGCAGAAGCCTACAGTGTGTGATTAATGTTTAATTTACAGAGCTGGAGATAAAAATTTATAAATCAAGTTAAAAGGTTTCTCTAATCCTTTTTTTTGTGTGGAATAGAATAATGCCCCATTGCTATTATTCTATATGTCCCCCAAAATAAATGTTCAAAGAGCGTTTTAAAATAAAAAAAAATTCCTCGATCCAGCACCGCGCGAAGCTCCAGGTGGTCCAATCAAAGGCTTCTTATAGAAAAGCCTTTGGCTGGAGGATTTGACAGGCTCAGAGCACATGCCTACAGTGTCCCTTTAATAAGATGTAAACATGCAATCTATGTTCAGTTAGTAAGAAACAAAACTCTTATAGCCACTTCACATACAATATAAATGGGTAATACTAAACACTAGTCACTTTAATGGGGAATTCTACAGGGTGCTGTAGTGGTTATGGTGTGAGGATGCTGCCCCACACTAAGGAGTCAAACCTTCTAACCCTGAAATCAGTCTAAAGGCATCAATTCCTGAACTCTAGCCTTGCTGGAAGTAAAAACCGTGAGTTTAAGATGGAATTTCTTTATAAATGCCTCTAACTTGAATTTCCTTTAGTGAATCCTCACTGGTAGCCTTGTAAAAATTGGCAAGAACAACTTGCCCAATAATGAACTGAGATTTAAAATCTCCCTACTTGTAAGAAATGTCTTTTTAATATACAACAAATATCAGAGGTTGAGGAATCAGTGTTCTATCTGAGTGGCACTGGTCAAATCTATAATTCCAGATGGTTAGGATATTGGATGCACTGTCTCCAATAGGGATCTAGCCTTGAATGTATGATATTAGTTGAGTCTGGAGATTATTCATCCATTTAATGTGCTTCTATTTTTTCTTTCTCATCACAAATTACGGATGAAACATCACTAACCTCCAACTTTAAATGACTATAATGTTAATCACGTTTTTTTTTTGTATACATGTAAATCAAGTCACATGACTTGATGTTAGCCACTTTCCAGAAAAGAATAGCAGTGTCCTACGAGATTTCTGCAGATGTACAAATCTATTCTACTCCTGCGAGTAATCCATGAATAGTTTCATCAATTCTACTTGGTAACTACAGTAACTGAATATCATATTTCTCACATAATATCCCAATCCATAACGCAATCTGGTGTTAGATTTACAAACACGATAGCTTCAAGTAATAAGTGTTCTACAGTAAAAGAGATATTTACATTATACAAATTCAAGAGAATAATGAAAATATGTTAATGCCAGTTATAATGACATATGAACATCTGTCTGTGCCATTTTATTCAGGGGACAAAAAGCAAGATCTGTTAGCTTTTCATAGGTTGTCCTTGGGAAACACATTTTATTTTGTGAAGTTTTGAAGATGCGATGAGGAACAATACTCTACTAACCTACAGTTCACAGCTAATTAGTTAGGCTCTCAATTGTTCTACAATAATAGAAATTCAACATGTACGCCGGTTCCTCTGTTATTGAAGGTTACCTTTTGTTAAATTAATATATTAACAATTTGCAGCAATGATAACCTATTTTTTAAACATAATAAGAACGAGGGTATATTCATGCAAGCTTATTTCTCAAAAGTGTGCTCATAAATTAAATATTTGTGAAGGTTCCCAAGGCGGTACTGAACAATAGCGGTGTAGGAATTATTCATTATTTAAGGGTTCTGTTTTACATTTGATACCCACTCTGCATTGATCATATTATCCCTAACCCAAGAAAGCCATTTCTGATCTTTCTTCAAAAAGGTTAGCAAAGTTAAACTGGTGCAGGTGGAAATGACATGATATAATTACACATTAAATATAAATAACGCATTTGGATTGATCATGATGAATCTATAGTTCTGAATCTAATTTGAATCCTCTTAAGAATGATAAAGGCTCAGTATAAGCAGTTATTATGAAGCCAGTTCTGTGACTATTTATATTTTAGTAAATATCATGATTTACCAGAGTCAGTCCTAGGTAGAGAGCAAAATATTGTATTACTGAGAGTTAATGCTGAAATATAATTTAATTTTTACGTCACTAAATGGGTTTGCTTGGACACATTCTTGTGTTATAGAGTCCATATGTTTTATCTTGTTTAGAAGCAATTCATTCAGGTAAACAGCACAGAACTATAGCATCAAATATGATCAAAACATCGTAATGAAGCAGTTTTGGTGTATAGATCACACCTCTGCAGTCTCAGTGCTCAATTATCTGCCATTTATTAGTTAAATCACTTTGTTTATGCAGCCCTAGTCACACCCCCTGCATGTGACTTGCACAGCCTTCCTAAACACTTCATGTAAAGTGTCATCTAATGTTTACACTTCCTTGTTTGCAAATTC